AGGGCTGTTTCGGCTAGAACGAGAGGTGGTGCTGCTGCGGAGGTGCTGCAGCGCACGAATAGTGCTACGCGGCAACAAGAAGTGTGCCCAATAGAACGGAATGAGGTCTCTGGCAGCTCAGCTGAGTCTAGCAGCAGGGATAAGTCGCGTACAGCTGCGGGAAGAGGAGTGGAAGCTCCCGTGACAACAACTTCCGAGACAGGAGGTGTCACTGCCAACGAGGGACGAGCACCAACAAAGCCATTGTTATTTCCGCTTCTTCACCCACAGCTATCCCATTTCACCGCGTGCTGCGGTCCGCTTCACCCTGCTTTCGTCCGCGCGGAGGCGGCTACTTGGCCATTCAAGTGTCGCCTATGGGGAGGCCTCGTTGTCGGATACGGCGGCTCCACAGCGGATCGCCGTGGCTGCCACCGGCTTTATGAAGGCTTGAAACTGTGGGACTCCACCACGGGTGTCGTACTAAGCTGGGCAGAAGGCGAATTGGTGAGCGCATTTGGAAGCAGTTGCACTTCTCTCTTCGAGGCGGATGGGAATGTGACAGACTGACCTGGTGTTAGCACAGCAGGTTAGAGCGAGTTCTCAGCAAGGAAAGTATCGGGTTGTAGCTAAGCCTGGGCATGCCAGTGTTTGGCACCGGTACCTTGCAGTCAAGTGAATGTGTACACAGTCATCGCCTGTCGGTCAGGGAGAGATGTTTGAGCAAGTTGTGCGGTTGGTGTTTTCAGGCGTCAGAGGACAACCTGAGGTGTATTGCGCCTGTTCCGGACNGAGCAAGTTGTGCGGTTGGTGTTTTCAGGCGTCAGAGGACAACCTGAGGTGTATTGCGCCTGTTCCGGACGTGAGCACCAGCCTCCTCGTCACTGGAGGATATATACCATCAGATCTTGGCAAGATGCAGCAGTCTGCCCCATCAGCCGGCTTGACGTTCTGGTCCCTGCGGCGTCGGGACGATCTGCTGATGTCCGCCCTTGAAGGTTCACTATCGCTAGAGGTACACTTAGACGACGATTCCCTCGAAGGCGGCGGTGACTAGCCGGAAGTTCATCACAACTGCCGCAGCTTGTGTTTACGCGGGAATACTTGTTCATCGGTGTAGATAAATATTTGTTTCATGGTTTCATGAGCCTCACTATGCGAAACGAGAGAAATCGCTTATTGTGCATTCAGTTGCTTCGGCGACCCATTTTGAGTGGCATATTGCCAAAGGGCAAGCAATTAACGCAGGACAGTCCCAAAACAATGGGGGCTCGCATGTGCCATGCGAGGCGAGAACCAGTTAGCTAGCTAACCACTGCGCAGCGCCCCTCGACTGAAAAAGAAGTGTTCCAGCTTAGCAAAACATCCGTGCGTTAGTCGTCGAGAACTCGCCTCCGTCTGCTCACAGGCCGGCGTTTGGCCGCACCGCGCACAGCCCTTCCGCGAGGCTTTGTTTCCTTTGGAGTGGCATCTGCACAACCTGTGTCGTGCGTAGCAGGCGGCATTGCCTCCCCAGCAGGTGCAAACAAATCTACTGATTCTGAACAATGTTGATCAGTGCCCGCCAGTGACGGGTGGTCCTGCTGCCCGTCGTTTGCTTCGTTCGCCTTGGCTTCAGCTGGTTCGGCATCATTCTGCAAAGCCATGGAATGCTCAGCCTGTTGCTGGACTTCTTGTTGCTGTGGCTCGAGCCCCGTAACTTCTGTTTGCATTTCCACCTGTTGTTGTTGAAGTTCCCTGGGCTCAGCTGGAGCGCATGCTTTCTTTGATTCTGCTTGTGAATCGACGTCCATAGGGGCTGCTGCACGTGCTGCATATTCTGGCAGTGGTGGCAGCGGTTGCTGCTGCACCAGCGCCAGGTCAATAACGGCAAGCATTTCCGCAGCGTCATCCTCCGTGAATCTG